CTCAGTGCTACGTGTGTGCAGTACATTCCACACACACTGGGGAAAAAAATGTTGCAACCTGACGCCACTTCCGCGATTGTGTAAAAAGTCTATGGAGAGTGAAGAACATTTTCTTAAGTATTTCCTAACAAAACTGGAAATATTTCTCAGTCCCAGATTCATGTCTTATCATTTTTGCAATCACTGACCTTCATTGAGATGATATATGAAGAAAAAAGTGGCGTCAGGTTGCAACATTTTTTTTCCACACTGGCTATCACAGGGTGCTTGAAAACCACTAAAAAAACATGTCACAAAAAACATGTCCTACTTTTGATCCTGACCAACTTTGTTGTTTACCAATGAAATAGACCCAAGACCTAATGACTGTTTACATATGCGCTTTCCTATGGGAGCGAAGTCGGGACGCCAGACAAAGGGACCGTCTACCACATAGGAAAGTGCACATGTAAACAAAGCGTGATGTCATTAGGTCTCAGGCCTATTAAACCAAAGTTTCAGATCATGTAAACAAGGCATGACCAATTTTTTTGGAGCGAGTTTCATCAACTTTGTGCAAGAGGGTGAGATGTAAACGCCATACGCCAATACTCACTTTTAACTTGGCGTCCGCCAGTGTTGATACAATGCTGAAGACGGTTGCGGAAGGTGCATGCTGCAGGCGAAAGCTTCTGAAGGAATGCAGGATCACCCCGGATGTTATTGCAAATCTCCTCGATCGTTTGGAGCAACACATGATCGAGGCGATTTGCAAAGCAGATAAAACTCGCTCCATAAATTTTGTCATGCCTTGTTTACATGATCTGAAAATTTGGTTTAACTCCATTGGTGAACAACAGAGTTATTCAGGTTCAAAAGTAGGACATGTTTTTTTTACACGTAGTTTGCAAGTCATATGCCAAATATGCAAGTTGAAGGCCGGGCTACTCAAACCATGGGCAGTTGGTCTTGACTGATCTGCAGGCTGATTGGACAAATGCTTTGTATGCAAATCAGACAGATTTACATACAGGTCAAAGGTGACTGGAAAAAAGACCCTTACTAAAACTACCCCTCAAGTGAAAATAATGGTATATCTGTCAAACACCAGTGCTTCGAATTCTGGTTATTATCGTTAAAGCATTTGTTTGTGGACGGATTTTGTTTTTGGAAAAAAATATAAAATACGTGGACGGTTTCACAATTATGCACACAAAAGCATACAATTTTGGTCCAAAGGGCTTTATCTTTTTGGTCGTTTTTGATTGGTAAAGCTGACTAAAATGTTATTGCTAAATTTGGATGGATTCCTGGGGAACTATTAGGCTATTCACTTTTAGGCCAAAAAAAAAAAATAGTCAGCGCGCGCGTCGATTTTAACCATGCGCGTCAATCTTCTTTTTTTTTTCAAAATGTTCCGCGATAGCTCCAACTGTGCCCTCTATTGCCGCACCTCCTCAATTTTTTTTTACCAAAGAGCACCAAGGAATGGGGAATTGCACCAAGGCAAATGATTGAGGGCACTAAGGCAAATTATGGAGGACACCAATGTACATGAGGACACCACAAAAAGCAAAATAGTACCCCACCTTGTCTGTACAATCCAAGCTTGAAAAAAAAGAAGAAAAAAAAAAAAAAAAAAAACCCGCGTCCCCGCGTCAATTCCGGAACTTTGGTCTGACCAGAGACCGAATATTTTTTTTTTTTTTGGCCTAAAGTGAAAATAATGGTATATCTGTCAAACACCAGTGCTTCAGATTCTGGTTATTACCGTGAAATAAAGCATTTGTTTGTGGACGGATTTTGTTCTTGGAAAAAAATATAAATAACGTGGACGGTTTCACAATTATGCACACAAAAGCATACAATTTTGGTCAAGATGGCTTTATCTTTTTGGTCGTATTTGATTGGTAAAGCTGAAAAAATGTCATTGCTAAATTTGGATGGATTCCTGGGTGAACTATTTAAAAAAGTTGATAAAACATGTCCCTTTTGAATAATTGAAGATTCAATTTTTATACTGGAAATACCTGATTTTTTAAAATCTAAAATTTAGCATAAAAAGTACATGATACTGTACCTATAACATTGATTACTGTACATGATTGAGGCAGATTCTCTTGTTTAAAAAATATCAATGTCTACAAGTTTTTTAAGCAAGCATCTGCATAGAATGATAAGTTGAAAGCTCAAGATCAGGGGTGCGTTTTGGCGGTCATAACCAAGAATTGGTTCGATGGTTTCTCTTTGGTTAATTGTTTTGGGAATTTGAGTACTACATGATCATGCGTAATTCTAATCCAATTAAAATTGCCGCAGAAATTCACAGACAAGAAACCACTGAACCAATTCTTGGTTATGACCGCCAAAACGCACCCCTGTTTTGGTTGAATATTTTTCTGATAAAATAAAAATTAATCTAACAAAATTTATTGATGTTTTTGAGTTTGAGGTTCTGCAGTTCCTTACACGGTTAAAACTACATCGTGTAAAGAAATTCATTTTGCACCCTAAATATAAATTCAATTTTCATATTAAAATATCTGGAATAAACCTTCTTTGAAATGGTATACATTGTCCATTCTCCGAAGTACAGTACTACATGTTTCGCACGTATCTCGTGTTTGGTCCTACGAGAAGGTACAGCAGCATATTTTTCTTTTAAACTAACTATATCTTCTGCAATATGTACAAAATATTAAACATAAGTACCTTCCTAGTTCCTACCAAACGTTCCTTGACCGAGCGATCACTAGTTTTCTCTCGTTACGACTTTGATCTTTATGTATGGACGTCGTGCACGACTGCGCTTTTTGCAATTAGACTAGGGAAGTTAATCTGGTCACACAGTGCACAAAATTCTATTCAATTGATTCAGCATGGCTTTTCACTGGGAGTCGAGGGCGGAGTGTGGCCTAGTGGTTTGGGTTCCTGACTTGTGATCAGAGGGTCAGGGGTCGAATCCAGCTGCTGGTCATATGTTGTGTCCTTGGGCAAGCCACTTCACCCCCACTTGCCTCTCTCCACCCAGGAGTATAAATGGGTACCGGCATTAGCTGGGGAGAAACCTGCGAGGACTGGCATCCCATCCAGGGGGAATAGAAATATTCGCAGTCATCGTTTCACGTTACTGAAACCGAAGATAAACGCCAGCCTGATGGGCCACATTGGCTCGTGACAGACTTTACACTTACAAGGGCGGAGAGGGCGGATCTAGAAAGGAGGAGGGGGGGGGGGGGGGAGGTGTGGGGGGAGGTGTGCCAGGTGCAGAAGGGCCTTTCTCAAGTGTAAAATGGCCTTATTTGAGAACATTTCGGTCACTGCTGGGGGGGTGGGGGCGTGGGAGGGTGTGGGGGTGTAAGGGGGGGGGGGGTTGAGTTTGTTTCTGCATTCAATAGGGGACGTTTAACAATAGAGGACAATAAGGTCCCCAATTCCGGAGAGGTCCCCGATTTGGATTCGTGTACAAAAAAAATGGGAGGTCTTCCTGAAAAGTTAAAGAGTACAAACAAAAGAGGGACAATAGGGGGCCCCCAATTGCAAGCAAATACACACTTGTGTGTGTGGGGGGGGGCGGGGCGTCTGGGAACAGGCGTCCCCCCCCAATAGATCCACTATTCAGGAAACCCTTTCACACCAGCAAATTCAACCCTGGGTAGGTCAAAGGTTGAGAGGCTGTGCCCGGGTGGAAAGTCAAACAAAAATCTAAGTATCAATTGTACTGCATACCTTGCCTGCCTGACTGTTGGGGCTCATACCACTTACGGTGGACCCTGTTAATGTCACCTTAGGAAGGTGATCGCGAGTTTTGAAAAGACGCTCCGTGCCACTGGCACAGGCAAAAAGCAGTGACTACCAGCTGTGTGACTGTCATTCCTTGACTGACGGGAGTAGGCCAAAGGACCCATCATTCAGTTCTTGCACGGAGTCCATACACAAAAAGACATTTTCAAGTTGTTGTCGCGGAAGGCATAACAAAAAATCTTTCTAAAAAAAACCTGTTCCAAAATTGTTCACAAAAAAAATCAGTACAAAACTTTTAACACGTATACACAACTCTTCCATCCTGGCTTCAATGTACACTTTAAAAAATATTACATTATAGTCTTAAATACTTTACAATGGACGGCAACACAAGTTACTTGTAGGAACTACGTTTCAGTGTCGTTAGGAAAAACTTTGCATTTTGGGGCAGTTTGGAGTAGGGATTTATACAGTTTCTATATTAGATCTGGTCACATATTCGGATTGTAACAAAATGGCAGTGTCTTGTTTACGATATGTTAAGTAATCAAAAAAGTACTATTGTAATTTTTGGAATATAAGCCGCAGCACACAAAAATCTGCAAATTAAGATTTGAAGTCGGCATGCAGCAGTACTAGTACACCCAGTTGTCGAAGACAGCTTTCACTCACGCATGGTCGGCCGGCCTGCCATACTTTTTACCGCTCGGTTTATTTTGTGGGACGTGCTTTCGGTTTGTTAATGACTTTCTTAATTTATAATTCATTTCAGCAACAGATCTCTTCTTATACCAGTACATTAAATACACACTTGAATCTCATTTTTATTCTTGAAGGCTCAGCGTATAAGCCGCCCTGTGTATAAGCTGCAGTATATATTTTCATGGGCAAATTCAACGTATAAGCCGCGGCTTATATTCCGAAAATTACGGCAGTTATACCTATATTTGGTAATATATGTGCCTTTAGACCCCATCCTTGTGTTAATACTAGTGAACATTTCACACTAAATGCAACACACAGGGAGTACATACACGTACATTGCAAATAACAAAGGTAACATTAGGTTCGTAAGAAATGCGCACTGGACGGATTGCGTAAGGGCATCAAATATACAATTAATACTCGATTCGCACCGGTAAAACTGTTGCACAATATTCCACACATTTTATCAATTCATTTTGTTTTTCAAAAATTGGACGGAGGTCAACTAAAACTTGGACGGAAGTCAAAAAAAATATTGAGAATCAATCGCAGAATTCAACATGGACGGTACGTTGGAATACAGACATTGCGTTGACACACTGGACGGAACTTAAAAATGCATTTGAAGAAAATAAATAAGAATTTTAGCTGGACGGTAATGGAATTTGCATGAATTTAAATGACGCGGGTAAGTCTTGGACATATCAAGTTTAACATTGTGACGCCACTACTTTTCAATCTTTTTGTACAAAAAAAAGTTTTGGGGGGCAAAAATATCAAACTCCCTTAGTTACCAACGACTAACAAAAAATAATTCAATTTTTTTCTGTGTATTTTCCAAAACTTTTTTTTTGGGGGGGGGGCGCAAAACCCTTCACTTTCAAAATCGCTCTCCAACTACAGATATATTTTACACTCAATATACAGAAAGAAAAGTAACTGCAAATTCTACATACACTGGAATCTTATAAATAACTTTTTTTTATTAAAAAAAAAGGTGAAAAAAGACTCCAAAATGCTGTTTGTAATTATATGAAGATTGTCTAATTTGCCGTATCACAAAATGGGCGGACTCCAAAATTGATTGCTTTTTGTACAGATGTATTCATAAAAATTGCTCTAGTTCATTGATTTTTTTTTTTATTTACGAAATTTATACTAACTCTCAATAAAATATATCATTTCTTTCACTATGTACATTTGTTTTTGCAACAATACTTTGTGTTTTTATAATGCTGTATTTTCAGAATAAAAAAAAAACAAAGTCGTTTCGATCAACTGTTTAAAAGTTTTTTCCTTGTTTCAGAAACCCCTATTAAAATTGGATTTTTCTAAACTAAGACTATTTCAGTTTTGTTCTTTGTACTCTAGACTCACACAATTAGATTTCATAAGCGAAATTAAAAATTTTTGGGGAACAACAAAATCAGTAAAAACTACCATCTGAATACCATGCAACCAACTCCCACCATTCACCATGGTCACGTCTTGTTTGCAGACAAGAGTTACATACCAAACGATAAAATGTCTACATCAAACTAAAAAAAAAAAAAACAACTCAAAAAATTGATGACGTCACATACATGTAGGTTTCAACCAATCGGTAAACACTTTTTTGACTTGCCGCACAATTCGACCAATCACATGAAGGATTGTGCAGACGCGCTGTCAAAGATACTACGCACGCCCAGTGAATCCGTAACCACCCAATATAAACAACAACAAAACCAGAGGACTACATTGACACCAACAGTTTCAAACTTCAAAGCGAGACATCAACACATTGTATGTAAAACATCGTCAACCAATAACGGGCAAGCTTTAAAACTTTACAATTACCAATCAAATTTCAAATTGTAACATGATTGTCAATCACGTTACTTTTAAAACACATCCAATCAACCAATGAAAACCTTCGACACTGATCCACCAATCGTCTGGTTTGTTCTAACTCTGGCGCCACGTGAGCCAGCCAATCACAGGTGACCTTTCATTCAGATCCACCAATCAGAGGAGGGGGGTTATGAGGGGCCGTCGGCGTAGACGGCTGACAGCTGGCTGGGGCAACGGTCCACGGCGTTCATCTGCAGAAGGGGGCTGTCGTCTAGGGAACGGCCGGCGCTCAGAATGCTGAACTCACCCGGACTTCCTGGCATGTCTCCAGTAAGACCTGAAAAATTACCCAAGAAAAAAAAAATGTAAGGAGTTTAAAAAGGTCTCTAGTGTTAGAGTGTCCTACATCAAAAATATAAAAGGACAAACACAAGACAAAAGCAAAGCAAAGCATTGGGAACAAATGGCAAATACACCACTGATCTCTATCACTGACATGGTTAGGCAGTCACAGTGCAGTGCCGACGCGACACGTCTGCCATTTTATTTTAGTTCACCCAAAAGAAGTGCGGGCTGCATGCCTCATAGGACTAAAACAACGTGTACGTCACAGCACGATGCTAGGTGAACTTAAAGGGCCCCTCGGCAGCATCGGGCCCAATGGGCCAAACAATAAATGGCCGCCTGTCCATGTCAGTGATAGAAATCAGAACAAATTTACAAGCACAATGCTAGATATGGGTTCCTTGCAGGGAGGTTTTAGGACACTGAGCTAGAAGTAGTTACACATTTCAGAATGAGAGTGCTCCACATCGGCAGTGCACACTGGCGTAATGTGCCGGTTCGCACATGTCCAAGCCAAACCCCACAGCCCAACTTAATGGCTCTGTGTTTCTGTAAGCTAAGAATTTTCTTTCAATAAGCCATTTGCGAATTAAATTTGAGTAACATCTGGTACCCTGACTTGCTTGAATGCTTGGCATATTTTAACTTTGAATTCTCCAGACCAAAGAGACTGTTGCTATATCATGTGATTCGGGGCAAGCCTTATGCTAGCAACCCCCAGCTCCGGCATGGTCTGGTGTCTTTGTGCCATTCTTACCCATTGTGAACAATGTATCAATGCTGAGCGTCTCTTACGTAACTATGCAAGAGCTTGCCCCGAATCATGTGATATTGCAACAGTGTCGTTAGTCTGGTGAATTTAAAATTATCATGTGCTAAGCATTATGAGCAAGTCAGTGTACCAGATGTTATTCAAATGTAACTCGCAAAGGGTATAGGTTATTCGCAAATGGCTTATTGTGGCAGAACGCTTTGTATTCACGGTAAGCGCGTCTACACGTGTGCATCCCATAACAAAGACATCTCTGCTTACAAGGTGATCGAGCGCAGAACGTACTGGCACTGTAAGCATGGAACGGTGATCTATGAGCATGGAAATCTGTGGTTAGCAGAGCCATGAAATTGCGCACTGCACTTAAACATTTCTAACATCCAATTACATGTGTGGGCAACTTCAGCAAAGTGTGGGCCCTTTTCATCATATACAACTCCACATAACTGAGAACATTTGAGTGGTGAAATGACGCGCAGTGTCCTCGTGCAACTCCAACAACCAGACATTGCTGTGTTTCATCACTAGAGGACGTGGTTGTGCATGGAACCCATATAACGACACAAACTGGAAAGCATCCAATTCTCATACATGTATGACAAGAGTTCTCTCCCTTCTTACAAAGGGGGGGGGGGGGGGGCTCAACAGGGCAAACTTTGAAAGCCATGTCTGAACATGGCTTTGAGAGCTATGGGAACGGCTATTGTCAGCTTGTTCCTATGTAGTTGTAATGGGTGAAGATTTAGGCAACAGATTTTGACGCGGCCAAAGATTCTTAATACAGGAACCAAGCCACCATGATTGCTGCAGATATCATGAAGCATGATCACGATTCATGAGAAGCCAGCAGTACCACACCAAAGACAATAGAACAATGCACCACGTCAAGCTACGTTTGTGTGAATGAATGGAGTGATCTGTTTGCATCTCCCCCCCCCCCCAGAAGAAAGCTAAGGTAAACCTTGTAAAGCTGGTCCCAGAGTGCACACAATTTGATTTAATTGATTCAGGAGAACGATTGACTGGAAGTCTTTTCATGCATGCATATGGTCTACACAATATGTGGGTTCAGTAGCCCATTCATTGGCGTTACGGGGTATCCTATACGATACAACTGCCCGGTGCACAAGTGGAAGTCAGTCTGTCTGTCAGTCAGGCGCAAAGGGCATGCCAGGGTGGCCCCCTGGGACCAGCAAAAATGAAAAGAAATGACAACAGGGAGGGGGCTATTTAAGATATTTGGCCACTATAGACAGGTGGACCTGCATACAAATCTCACTGCTTCCATTGCAGTTGGATCCTTGAGAATCAATGGCTGGCCACATTGGCCAGGTCGGCACATTTTTCACTTAATATACCACAGCGAAATATAATCACGACTGCTTTGAAAAATGCGACAGAGAGGATTTCTTTTTTTAGGTGAGGGAGAGTTTCAAATGCTTAAGCCAGAAAAAAAGCCCTGTTCAAAGTACCACCACCACACCACTTCCACCGCCGAAGCATGGAATGTCGCAAGGGGTTGCAAACACAGCTATACACAACAAATGTAACACTTTTCACAAGCACAATGATTTCACCGATTTGGACTACCTACCCTCTCCGAAAACTTATTGGGCTTATTGTCATAAAACTTCATATCCTGTGGATGGATTGTATAAGGGAGCAAAAAATTACATGCATCAGTTAGCTCTTGTACAAGTACATGTGCCTAACGAAACGTTAAAACAAGCAATGGTATAACTTAGTGATTTAGGCATCGACTCTTTCAATATCTGGGATAAATTGGGGACATGTTTATCGACAATTTGCCCATAGTCTTGGGTATATGTTGCTGGATTCTGAACAACTTCCCCGGACTCTGTAAAGCTATAAAGTTATCAGCATTGTTTACCCTCATTGCAAGAAGATTCCGGGAACGTTGTTCCAAATCCTTTAACAAATACAGGGTGAGTCAAACAAAACGAAACCCAAATGTCGGGACCATTGTTTTAGTGAAGTTTTGCATGTAGTACTTTCAAATCTCGGATATGACAGCCCAATTCTTAACCTTTCTTTTAGTACAAGAATCATTCAAATCACTACTTTTCAAGTTATGGAATTTTAAACACAACCGCCGTTTTAAGGTTCTGTCCACGGATCACAAAAAGGCAAGTGTTCTTTCAGCAAAACAGAAACAAATCACATAGGGATGTGTGTGAATTGTTTTCGTTTTGCTGAAAGAACGCACACCTTTTTTGTGATCTGTGGACAGAACTTTAAAACGGCGGTTGTGTTTAAAATTCCGTAACTTGAAAAGTACATGAGTGATTTGAATGATTCTTGTTCTTAAACAAAGCTTATGAATTGGGCTTTCATATCCTAGATTTTGAAAGTGCTACATGCAGAACTTCACGAAAACAATGGTCCCGACATTTGGGCTTCATTCTTTTTGACTCACCCTGTACTCAAGACACTGATGGGCCTATTACGGACAAACTTTTCAACTTTTATCCCAGATATTTATTGAGATGGCTGCTTACTTAATAGCACATGCAGCAACACTTCACCTAATTCATGGATTGGATAAAAGCTTTTTTAATTTTTCACATTTCAAATTTATTTTTAATGTTAGCCCTTTTCAAATAAAAATGGGGCATGTTGGCAAGCCAAAGTTTTAACTGTGATGGGTTTTCCATTGTGAAACTATAAGAATTTGAGGATTCTTGAAGTTCAAACCTATCTCTAGCTATGCGTGAATGTGCAGATGGCACACCAAATCTCCCAGTGTTTAAATAAGAACATTTTCTGAGATTCAGACCGACCATCTTCGGCCTTTTACACTCTGTAAACATTTCCTGATGGCCCGTGAGTTGAATCCCAAGATTTTGGCGATCCCTTTCACACGGCTTCTACATGGGTCTAGCGCTCTTTATAACACCTCACCCACAGATTCTATCTCTTGATTGGCCGAGAGCGAGTCACATGGCACTTTCTATTTTTGCTATCTTTCCATGCACGGCCCAAAGTACTATACCCGTAGCAACCAAAGCACTATACCATTAGCAACCAAAGTACTATATCCACGGTGCGGTATTTGTGTGCGAACTGCATGCTGGTGTCCGCGTTGAGCGTTGCGCGTAGTGCGTATTGTTCCCAAGAGAGCGCGCAACAGAGTTGGGTTCAAACATTTCGTGAAGGGGTGGTTTGGAAGAGAGAACTACGTTTTCCACCAAGTTTGTATTGAAATAGATGTTTATTTTAACTGTGTTTAGATTTAAATAATATAAAATATTAAAAACCTAGCAGAATCTGTGGGTGAAGTGTTTTTCAAACAAATACTGAATACTTTATCTCGTGTTGAAGTAAAACTAGCCTCCCTCGGTGATCCATGGAGCATTTTATTTTCTCGAGGCGAATAGAATGTCCATGCCTCACCTCAAGAGGCTAGTTCTACTATACCACTCGAAGCATTCAATATTTGTATCATGTGGTTAAAGAGGTTGTGGAATGCTCGAAGACATTTCCATCATTTTTCGGGTATATATAGCCTAAGGTGTGATGAAATAAAAACGACTATTGTTTCTGTCATAAAATGAGTACAAAAGGTACTTTTGAGAGCTGTTTTTCAAGTCCTGTCATGCCTGTTTCGACCCGAACGTGCAATTTGTGTAAAAGTCGTCGTTGCGGGCAGCAAACAAAACACAGTAGATCGTGACGTAATAAACAGGACTCCCGATGCAGAGTAGCATAAACGAGTCCTGTTTATTACGTCACGATTTACTGTGTTTTGTTTGCTTCCCGCAACGACGACTTTTACACAAATTGCACGTTCGGGTCGAAACAGGACCTGAAAATAGCTCTCAAAAGTACCCTTTGTACTCATTTCATGACAGAAACAATAGTCGTGTTTATTTCATCACACCTTAGGCTACATATACCCAAAAAATGACGGAAATGTCTTCGAGCATTCCACAACCTCTTTAAAACTCAGCCCTGATCAGGTCCATCTATAGCGTGAAAATTCTACTTGTTTACAAACCTCTGTCAGAGCTGGAGTGCGCGGACAACACCCTCTCAATGGCCTCGTACTGGGCCGGCGTAGGGGACAGCGTCTCCTCAAACGTGGGGATCGGGTACAGACCCCGGGGGCTGGGGATGTGTCTCAGCTGCTTGTAGTAGTTGTTGTTGTTGTTGTTGGTGACGGAGGGGCGGGGCACGGGCTGCAGCGTCTGGAACGTCAGGCTGGGTCGCGTGGTCGCGTGTAGCCGCATGTGGCTGATGGGCGGCGGCATGGCCCGCCCCGGGGCGTCCGATTGGGAGGCGGGGGCCGTCAGGGGCGGGGCTGGGGCGGTTAAGGTTAAGGTTAAGGGCGGGGCCGGGGCTATAAGGGGCGGGGGTGGCGGTTTGGCTGGCAGCTGGATTTGTATCCTCGGAGTGATGTTTATACCTGCAGAGAGTAATGGAGAAAAAAAACAATGTTTATAAATCAAAATTTTTCTATCAAGTAAACTGCAATTACACACACAGAGCCAGTCATCTTTGCGTGAGCATCAGGCGTCGTCGGCAATACGCTCAAATGTCACTCCAAGACTGGTCTCCCCCAACTCTCCCTTCCTTACCGTTGAGGGGGTACTTGTGCACGGAGCTCCATACAGTGTAGAACAGTGTAATACAAGTGCTTAGGGGTTAATTTAACTGTCATCTTAAGCATTTTCATACACATGAATTTTGTGTAAAGTCCTGTTCACACTGTCCAAAATCTCCGGGTTGGAACCGGATCGAACCCCGAGATCTTTTTCAACCCTTTTCCCATTTCTAAAATTTCAACCCCGTTCCGAGCTGGGTAGCATGCTCTAGCTGGATCGAAATACCGGTAGACCCTGGCAGGGACCAGGGTTGAAATTCTCAACCCGGATCGAATTGCATTTTTCGTTGCATGGTTCACGTAGCGGCCGGTTCGTTTAAAGAACAGTGCGAACGTTGCGTCTTTCCGATCCATGTCGAAAACAACCTGGGCTGAACCAGGTTGGATCCGGGTTGGTTTCAACAGGGTTTGAAACAGAGATAGTGTGAAAAGGCCTTAATTCACCTAGAAATGAAGCCACAAGAGGGCGCTGTTCAATCCTACCATAGAAATTACTCCACAGTGTTACAAAAAACCTCTTTAACAGTACAAATATCAAGAAAACCAAACAAATCAACACAGCAGCCTGGTCCCCCCAGATGCCGTGTCAATCACCCACACTGACAGGTTAGCGTGATTGCGGGCACCATGCCAAGGGCAATACAGCCAGCTGAGGTTTGTTGATTCAGATTTGGAAAAATGTGAATTTTTGTTTGTTTGTGGCCCATATTTATGTTTTCTATTTCTGCTTGTCAGGGGCTGAAATGCCTTCAGGTCGTTAAGTACCCGACTGACAGCGGCAAAACTATTTTGGAAGTTGGGGGGAGAAGGGAATCATATAAATGTGCATCTTTCATCAAATCAAACTAATTTCTTTAAGTTGAAAAGTTAAAACACCCATCGAAAATGTCTTTCAAAGTTCTGTTTTGGGTATGAATATTTGTTGTGATTACCTTTGCAGCATAAGATACAATATTTCTCAGGAAAATTCCTTCGGTTGAAACGTTAAAAACTCAATCTAAAATGTCTATTGAAGTATTGTTTTTTGTATAAAAAGTTTGTTCGGGTTAACTTTACAGCATAAAAATACAATACTAGAAATGTGTTTGTGGACAAACACAAGTTGTTTCGAATGCCCCTTCAATGTGACATCACGTGAAGTGTGATGAAGTCACTTGAATTTTCATCCATAACACACCCTGGTATAGGTTGCAAGTTACAACCGAATTCGAAGCCTGATATCTTCCGAACTAAGTCTGATTGGGTCAAAATTTGTGAGTATAGACGGGACTTGTTATACATGAAGATACATGTATAACATGAAGATTGAAGTGACGTCATCATACGTCATGTGACGTCACATTAAAGGGGCACTTTTTCTAAGGACTATATCTAAAGAACTCCAGATCCGATTAGGTTTTTACTTGTATGTAGCTATACCGGGATGTGTTATAGATGAAAAATCAAGTGACTTCATTGTGACGTTATCATACTTCATGTGACCTCACATTAAAGGGGCATTCGAAACAACTGGTGTTTGTCCACAAACACATTTCTAGTTTTTATTATTATATTATACAAAAGACAACAACAACAGCAAAGTTGGTAAAAAAAAAAAAAAAAATTGTTTTTCATTTGGCACTTTTGCATCTTTGCTACATCGTGTAGGCCTAAAGGACATTCAATACTGAACATTTAAAACCAAAAATCCCCCCCCCAAAAAAATTCTATGCAATTCTCTGTACTTATTAACATATCTCCTCAATTCTAATCCTTCCTTTTGAATTTAACATATCTACATTACTACATGCATTTCGAAAGATCTTAACAATAGGACAAAGACAACAGATTATGCATGTACATGTACCTGCACACTAAGAAGAAATGCCAACATCGATTAGAGATACCGTTAAGCAGAAATGCACACTTGTTCCAGTGGGTTGCAAATGTTAATGCACACGTACATGTATGTACAACACGAACAGGTGATATTGCAGCTGGGTTAACATTGAGTAACCCCCAATGCAAACAAGCAGTAAGACCAACTGACAAAATCTCTGCAGCAACGAATAGGACTTCATTCTTCACTTCTTCTTTTTTGGGGGGCTTATTCCAGAAGTCCGGCTCAGACCTTACTCATGAGGAAGCCATTTTGGATCATGTTCCCTGAATGTATTTTATAAATTGTAAACTGTTGAATGGGATGGTGCCAGACTATTTATGCATTCCAAGCCTCACTTTCAATTTTTTTTTTTAAATGTGGCTTAAAACATTAGGGTTTGTTCAATCACAATTTTTTTTAATTATTCATCAGAGCAGACTGGTATTAATTTGTAATTAATTTTATTTCATTGCTTTTATTTCTCAATATGCAAGTTCCAAAAATGAAGACTTTACCTAGCTTTCAATTTAATGTAGTCGACTCGAGAATAAAGCCTATAGTCTCTTTTTTGGAGGTAATTTGACTGACTGACTGACTGACTGACTCCCCGACTCCCCATCACTTGCGATTTAGAATGGTTGTAGTCTATTGAATAGAGCTGGGCAGTGCTATTGTATAGGATTACCTCCTAACACCAACGGATGGGCTAAATCCAGCTTGGGACCAGTTTTACTAGACTTGCCTAATCTTGTTGTAAATGAAAAAAAAAATGTTACACATGCACAACATTAAGACCCTCCACTGAGACTTTTCGTTGAGAAGGGTCTTACAGAAATCACTTGTTTTCTTTTTGAATATGAGTCTGTAGAATTTCAGTCTTGTAACACTAACTTACAAATATTTTCCAGAAATGTAGACAACATCCCCCACCAACACAAACCAACACCTATATTAAGCATAACTACCCAGTTTTCTAAATATGGTTCATATTTTGAGTGGCCAGTTTTTTTTACCAAGAAAAACCCTGGAGCTACAAGACTCAGACAAAACATTTCCAAAAATCCCAGGAGGAAAATATTGGATTTCCTGAACTTGTCGCCGGCCCTCATTATATGCAAATGTCATCTAAGTTTGACATGTATGTGTTCATGTACATGTCTGGCCTTTCAATGACCAATTTAAGCAAATAAAAAAAAAACTAGGATCATCGTAAATTTCTTCCGAATTCCTAGGAGAAATGAATCCATGAAATGGTCTAGCTGATAGGCCACTGCCAGCTGGAGTACACTTACAAAGACCACAGTTTGTCTTACACTGACGCAAGCACCCTCGCATAACTCCCATTATTTTTTCAGGAGGCACGCATCCGAGGGTCACGGCCAAGTTTTATTATTATTTTTTTTATGGACGGCTGACAGATACACTAGGTTCATGTTTCATGAAAAGCCCAGCCTGCCAAGGCCTTGCAGTGGATGATATTGCATTGCATCAGAGGGTACTGCACCTAGCCAGACAGTCTGTGGTACCTCCTAGGTCTGGTATAACTAGAACAAGCATGAATGTTTTTGGCGGTGTTAGATGACAAATATGCGCACCAAGTGTGAACCCTGATGGTTGCAGACCAGTAAATAAACTGCCATAGACCCCAATGATAAATGCCCTCACTTCAAAAATTCGGGAAAAATACTCACAACTCTCTGAGGTTTTCAAGACACACATCACATTAAAGCTAATTTCATCATCTTTCATTTTCTTTTCAATTGTCGGGGGGTTAACTGATGACTTTTAGGAGAAAAGTCCATCCGAAGATGATCACCCCTTAAAATGGTCCTGAAGCCCATCGCCATTTATAAAAACGATGCCAACACTCCATTGCAAAATAGAGCGCTTTTAGGGCTCCAATTTCATCCAAATTGCACAGAACTACAAGCTCACAGTCCTGTGCACGGCTTCCACCCATATTTTTTACAAACCCTCAAGTTCATGGCCCACAATATGCTCAAATAACGAAGAATTTCAGGGCATGCAAATTGTGATTTGGCCGGCGTAGGCGATTTTGGCCTGCAACCTGATACAGCCTAAACTGATATCTTTATAATCAAGAACTGAACAGTCTGAGATGTACTTTGTGAATGCATGTTTGTTTCCATGACCCCATTGCGACAAGTATCGTTGTCACCCACTCATTCCTGCACCCAGTTTCATGAAACTCATCGTAACTAACGATGCATCCCTGCGAGGCATTGTATCTTACGATGCGTCGCAGCTGCGACATGCCCTGTGATTCATTTCACAAAATGCGTCGTAAGTGCGACGTACCGTAGGTGTATTTACAGCACAACACGATGACTGTTATTACGTATTTATTATACGCACCGTATATAATAGTCATCTGATATTCAGCAAAGAGTCGTCAGATCTCCTCTCAAAAAGTTTTTAAAACGTAAAACAAAATGGCGGACATATAATGCAGTTTTAATGGCAAACAAGGTTGCGTTGGACTGTCAGCTACTTCGAAATTTCAACTGCAATATTCCAGGCAAATACAACTTCACCCACATTGTCTCGGTATTATAGTCTCGTTTATTAATTTTTTTATTGCATGAAACTGGCTAAGAAAAGACGCTTCTTGCTATGACCAAAAGACAAGTAGTAACTTGCGACGTGTTTTGAAACATTGGCAAGGAACTTACGATGCGTTCAACGCATCCTAAGTTCGATGAAATGGATTACACTACGTGTTGCAAGTTGCAACGCGTTGCAGCGCTTCATGCAATTGGGTGCAGTACTGCGCCAAACTGCCCTACCTATTACTCCTTAAACTGCCCCAAACCGCCACAGCACTGTACAGTATTTTGGATTCAACAAGGAGCAAGTACAATGTAATACAATGTAACACAATGTAACACAATGTAACACAATGTAACACAATGTAACACAA